ACCTAGTGATTCTGTGATTCTGTGAAAAGGCAGAGAGAGATCTGGGCTGGGAGTGCTAAAGAGACTTAAGCAATACAGTATACTTAAAAGCCAGGTGGTTCTGCAATTATCCTGGATCATCTCTGAAGAGTTCTTAAAATTACAGAAGCAGAACTCTAACACATCAGTGAACCAACCCAAATCCATTCGGGTAGGGAATGTATTTATCCATTCAAAGAAGCAAACAAGGGAGACCACCAAGAACTCAGTCATCAAACACCAGGTTACACCAGGTTCAATGTAGAAAAATAAGACCATTTAGAACTCAGAAACAAAACTTATTTTCCCCCAAAGTTTAAAAGAGCTACTAGACTTCCAATGAAGAAAATATAATTCACCAAGAGAAATCTGTAATACAGGTTTCAAAGTATGCTTCAGTGGTTGAAAGGCAAAAGGAAAGCAAATACAGACAGTGTTGTACACGAGCAGCAAGGCAACCGCTCTGTGTCTCATACCAGATTCTTCTTTATTTATAAGTGGAGGAATAAACACAACCAGAGCTGTGTGTGGTAGGGAACAGGGAAAGCAGTGAGTAGGTGTGAGGAGTAAACACAAGAACTTATTATCTATATGCAGGGAACAGAAGACCATGGGGAATAAAAAGCTTCCCAAGCTTCTGCGTTAGTATGAAGGTAAGGGAAAGAAAATCTCTAATTGTGGGAGGGAGGGGTGTGCAAAACCATTTACAAAGGGTTCAAAAATATTTTACGGCTATGTGGGATAATGAAACTCATTATTGAGGAGCAGGTAGAAAAAAGGCACTCTGTAAGGACACAGGCAGTTAAGCACATGGGCTGCTTGATTTATAAAACTTTGATGCAGGTTGACAGAAGGATAAAATCAAATCCTACCTTGCACACAGAGAAAACTGGAGGCAGGGGAGGAGGAAGGGAGGGTTTAGTTTGAAGGGATTGATGAGGACCAAGATATGAAGGCAAATGGAGAAAACTGAACAAAATGCAATTCAAAGACGTGCTTTTCACTGTGCTTAAGAGACAGATTCTGGCCTGAAAAATTTACATTTGTAAATTCTTTAACCTAGTACAAAGGACCCAATCGCAGCTTGGATCATCCAGCCATAGCTTCTTACAGGAGTCAGTGTTAGGTCAGCAAGCATTTGTCATACACACACTGGCAAGGAGTAGGTTACTATATCAGTTTCTTTGTCATATTAGAAACATGCATAGTTTGGGCAGCGAGGATGATGTGACTGAATGTTTGATGTTTTGGAGAGAGAGGCAATGCATTCTGGAATACAAATACAACAAATGTGGAACCTCTCTCCAGAATAACATAATGTTGTTTATAACAAAACAGTCTATAAGGCAAAACCTAACCAAGACTGAGAAACAATCTTAAAATACTTGGACTCTTCTATGTGACTGTAACTGTGCTCAGGGAAGGATAGGGATGAGCCCAGCTAAATATTCTGAACCTGCCTTAACTATCTTCCACCTGATGAATATAGGCTTCTCAACAGATGTCTGGCTCCAAGTACTTTTCTGGAGCAAAACTGGTTTTAACCTGCAGAATGAAATTTCTCCAGGCTCTTGGTTCATCTCTTCCTTTGCTCTTCCCTCATCTCCTTTGGCTGTAATCAAAATATTTCACTAGTGTCTTATCTTTAATATTTATTCTCATCTCTGAAACTGCTGTTGAGCAGTATTTCCAAGGACTGCTGAAGCTATAGATGGGAAGTGGTAGAGCTGCAGTAATCCACAGATCTTGAAGACGACCAGAAAGCTGCTTGGCCAGCAAATTAGTTTTGCACGAGCCCAGTACAGACCAGCAGGTGGAAGCAGGGAGAAACATGAGACCAAAAAAGGCTCACAAGTTCAGCCCTAGGAAGCATTTAAAAGGCAAAGTCCTTTGGGGATTACAAATAATTTTTACAATTAGAGTATTATATTGTCATGTGAAAATGAAGCCTAGTTATTCATATAGCCCATAATCTATGACTACCAGATAAAGGAGTTATCTATCCATGTACAAAGGATGAATGAAGGCAGGCCATGAGCTCAGATCTGTGTTAACAGTCTTACGTGCTGGACTGTGTCCAGAGCAGGACAACAAAGCTGATGAGGGGTCTAGAAAACAAGTCTTATGAGGAGCACTTGAGGGAACTGGGGTTGTTCAGTTTGGGAAAATGCGGCTCAGGGGAGACCTTACCGCTCTCCACAACTACCTGAAAGGGGGTTGTGGTGAGGTGGGTGTTGGTCTCTTCTCCCAAGTAACTAGCGACAGGACAAGAGGAAATGGCCTCAAGTTGCGCCAGGGGACGTTTAGATTGGATATTAGGAAAAATTTCTTTACTGAGAGAGTGGTCAAACATTGGAACAGGCTGCCCAGGGAGGTGGTGGAGTCACCATCACTGGAAGTGTTCAAAAAATGTATAGACGTGGCACTTCAGGACATGGTTTAGTGGGCATGGTGGTGTTGGATTGATGGTTGGATTCAATGATCTTAGAGGTCTTTTCCAACCTTAGTGATTCTATGATTCTACAATGAATCTGGGCTTCTGTAGACCAGTACAAGCATTTCCAATGAGAAAGACTCAGAAGCATTTTCACACTCAGGAATTCGATTAAAACATTCAACTACTAGATTTAAACCCAGGAAGGCAGCTATACAAAAAAACCCAACAATCTCTAAAATATACTGGAGTTTTTAGCTACATTTTTAGAATTGTAAGAACTTTCAGAATTTTTAGAATAAAAATTTAGGCAGAATTTTTAAATTCTGCCTTATGTGCCATTACTTACTGGCTATCTTTTATGACCTAATTCTTGAGATGCTGTAATTGAGTACATCTAAACTGGCAAATTTTTTTCCTTCCAGTCAGACAACTAAAAAAACCCAAAAAGCCATGATACCAACCCACATATACATATGTATGTCCTATCTAGTCTACAAACCATCTGAGAACAGTTGTCCTACCACTTGTGTTTTAATGGCTGACCATGAAGAAACTGTAATAGCTTTGTCTTTTAATCTGAACTGAGTGCAAACATATGCTTAACAAAGTTATTTATGATACACTTTAATTTCCCACGATAAATTACCTCTCTTGGGGGCTGTGGACTACTGGTAACAGTAGGAGTTAGGATCAGTGGATTCTATTTCCATGCCTAAAACTCATCAGCTGTATAATGTTGAACACATCTCTCATCTGTGCATCTGATTCAGCAGTTCCAAAACAGCAATAACTGCTTGCACCCCCATATATACCCCAGTTCACAGGGACTTGTGAAAATCAATTACCATTTGAAGTGTTTCAGTACCACAGGATGCAAGTAGCTACAAAAGGAAAATATGTGGAATTAATTTACTGACAGATAATTAATACAGTTACCTGTGTTGCCTCCCAGCCCCACTGCCTGTACTTGGGATCGTGGGTGAATCTCCACATATACCAGTAGGTCTCAATCACCTCTGGTCTTAGGATGTAATACTTTTCATTCTGCCGCACTGCCACCGCCTCTATGCCACCATCAAATTTGAATGCTTCTGGACCCAGCTTTAATGCTGTGGGGGGGGAGGGGGTGGAGAGGGGAAGAAAAAAAGGAAAAAATTTATTGCTTACCAATCTTTGCAGAAAGGCTGGCTAGGAGACTGCTATTTCCCAAGCATGTGAGAAAAACAGAAACTAGCTTGTCTTTAAGCAGTCTCATAAATATTTCCTATTGTTGAAGCCTATAATTTTTTTTATGAATAATTTATCCAATTCCTGTGAGAAAACTACCTATCCTGACAGGAGTACAGTAATCCTCTTGAAAACTAATGAAACACTAAGAATATAAACACATTAATACATTCAATTATAGGATAAAATTAAAGTGACTGACATGAGTTATTTAGAAGCAAAAGAAAAAAACCAAAAAGGTCAACATAGACTGTGATGTCCTTTGATCCCACCCAGCACAGCAGGAAAAGATCTTAGAACAAAATCAGTTACCCACCATCTCAAATACCCTGCATCTTTATCCAAACTTGGTTTAGGGAAGTGCTGTCAGGCCACCATAACTGATGTGCTCCATAATGTGATCCTCAAGTAAAGGGTTTACAACTAGGCAATGAAAACTTAGCCACACCTGAAAACAAATCTCTGAACTAAGAGATTCACTATTTCAGTCCTTAAAGGAAGCTGTAATGGCCCTGTGCCAACACCTGGAACAGTAGTCATATTAAAAGGAGGTACCTGTAGAAAAACTGTTTATAATATGAAGATGCAATTATATGTATTTTTTTATTATACAGCTACACATTATGCCTCTAATTTGACATAAATAATGCGCTCTTATCTACAGCTGCACCCCACCATTTGCTTTAGCAGAGAGTTTTTAAGGCACTGAACTTTGAAGCTGCACTCAAGTTTTACAAATTATCAAAGCGATTAATCATGTAATTCCTGTGGGCTAGAGGCTCACATTAACCATGGTCTCATGAGTCTGAAAGGGGAACCTTAGAATACTACAGTGAAAAATATCAGCACCTCCCAGTGTGTGTCCCAGCAGAAAATGTCCCCAAAAAGTGCTTTAATCTTTTTGTTTCAAGGGAGTATGGCTCTGGATGACAACAGAAAAAAGCACCACTCTGCTTCAACCACATGTGGTATGGAAAACTCCATCAAAAAATGTTTATGATATTTCTTTCAAAATGGGCTATCTTACCTGTTTCAGTGAAAAAAATTTACAAGTTTTACTGCCAAATCAATGAGATTAGATACAGAGTTCTGCCTATTCAAAGTTAAGAAGACAAGAATGGCCATACTGCACCAGATGAAAGTTTGTCTGGTCCAGCACTATGTCTCCAACAGTGGCCAAAATCAGACATGGATGGGGAAGAGGAAGAACAGGCCAAATACGTATGATACCTTTTTCCACCTTCTGTACCAGTGTCCAATTTTTTGAGCTCAAGGTTTCTCCCAAAATAGACATACTTTATTTTATGTGGTCAGGTTCTTAATATTCTTAATAGATTTATTTCCCAACTACTTACTTGGTGTTTCCTTAAACCTACATAAGCCTTAAGCATCCAAAACAACCTCTGCTAAGGAGTTCCGCATCCCCAATACCTCTTTGGTGTAGAACACTTTTTTTGTTCTTTTCTGTTTTCAGCTTGGTTCTTACTAGACTCATTCCATAGCACCTAGGTCTTCTTTTTAAGAAGACAGTGAACAACTGATTCCTAGCCACTTTCTCCAGTCCGCTGCTGATTTTGCAAATTTGTTGTATCCTACCTAAACCACCCCTTTTCCACACTGAAGAATACTATCTGATTCAGTTGCTCCTTGAATGGAAACTCTTCCATACCTTTAGTTTTCCTTCCAGCCTTTCTCTGCAACTCTTTCAACTCTATATCCTTTTTGAAATGTAAGGACCAGCCTGAATACAGCACTAAAAGTGTGGACAAGATTAATATAGTGACCTAATGACATTTTCTATTTTGTTCTTTTCCACTTTGTTTATCCTGACTGCTACCAAGCTGACATTTTCCTAATCCCAAGAGCAATTTCCTGAGTTGTAATGGTCAGTTAAGAGCTCATCATTTTATATGTGAGGTTAGGAATAATCTTCTCATAGGTGTCTCACTTTACATTTAACTACACTGAATTTAATTTAGTAATTTATTATGCAGTTACTCAAACTCATAAGGTCCTTGTGCAATTTTTCAGCTTGCTTTCATCCTTGCTATCCTGAAGAGCTTTTTTCTTTTAGTTATTACCATCAGCACACTTACTCTACTATTCCTGCCCTTTTCCTGATCATTTATGTATGTGTATATATGTTTTACTTATACATACATATACACATATTAAAATATAAAAATAATATACATTTATAGGCATATTATCTGTGTATAACTATATATCAGATGTGTCAGAGCACCACTCATTAACCACCATTCGTCTGTTGCAAGAGCTGACTATTTACCTCAACCCTATTTGTTATACTACAACCATTTTTTCCCCATGCAGGTACTTGCTGCTTATGCTACAGCTGCTTAATATTCTTAAAAGGCCTTAGTCGAGAACTTTGGAAAACCCGTTTGGAAATCTGGCAAACCACATCAGCTGTATTGCTCTTATCCACAAAAGCAGCTGGATTTTATATATCTAGTAAATTTTATATAGATAAATAGATAAAACTAGATAAATGTTATATATCTAGTTTTAGAAATAAATTTGAAAACATTGCTTAATTTTTTTTGTGTGTTTCTTTAAGACTACAGTCAATCTAGAAACAAATTTCCTGAAGGTAAGAAAGGTTTCATAACTGTAGTAAGACTTCCTAGGTTCTAACTCATATAAAATTTGAGGAAGAGAACCTCCAAGATACTTTTGTTTGAGACTCTGAACCATTCCATCAACACACATTATTATTTTACACTTCTCACAAAAACAAGTAATTATTATGACCTTTACCTGTTTAGCTGCTAACAGAGTCCTGGGACAGAGACAGCATCTACTCATACCCTGACAATGTCTCAGCTGAAATCTTAGTCATCTGGCTTATTCTGCATTGGAATTGTCACATGTATAAAAACAGCAAATGCTGTACCCAGATTCTGAGGACAGTTCTTGTCAGAAACTTTAAAGACATGCAAAAAATTTTATTCTGAAATAATCTGTCTATAGTCAGTCAATGCTTTACATATTATTGGCTAATGTCTGGGAAAATTCTCATGTATAAGGAATAATATTTTACTAAAAATACCGTGTGCTGTAAATCAGCACCTGCTACCAATCTATATCAGAAATAGAGCGGCCAGCAGGACTTGGGAAGCAATTGTGCCCTTGTACTCGGCATTGGTGAGGCCACACCTAAATACTGCGTTCAGTTTTGGGCCCCTCACTATAAGGAGGTGCTGGAGCACGTCCAGAGAAGAGCATCAAAGCTCGTGAAGGGTCTAGAGCACAAGTCTTATGAGGAGCAGCTGAGGGAACTGGGGTTGTTTTGTCTGGAGAAAAGGGGGCTCAAGGGAGACCTTATCACTCTCTACAACTACCTGAAAGGAGGCTGTAGTGAGGTGGGCGTTGGTCTCTCTTCCCAAGTAACAAGTGATAGGACATGAGGAAACGGCCTCAAGTTGCGCCAGGGAAGGTTTAGATTGGATATTAGGAAGAATTTCTTCACTGAAAGGGTTATCAAGCATTGGAACAGGCTGCCCAGGGAAGTGGTTGAGTCACCATCCCTGGAGGTATTTAAAAAACATGTAGATGTGGTGCTTAGGGACATGGTTTAGTGGTGGACTTGGCAGTGTTAGGTTTATGACTGGACTTGATGATCCTAAAGGTCTTTTCCAACCTAAATGATTCTATGATTCTATTCTAAATAGATAATTTTGATTATTAATCTAATGTCTACAATACCTATGAAAGCTGTTTATTCAGATTGATTTGTTAGTGGTATTTTTATTCTTTTACTTTCATTGGAAATATTTTTTTATCATTTATGGGTTTCACATCATCAGTTATTTTATGCCTTTTCCATGTTTCTCAGTGGTGCATGTTAAGCATGTAAAACAAAGAACTAATCCCCAGTAACTGGAATACCTCAAGATGTGCAGTCCACAGACAAGCTTAAATGTTGAGTAACCTTGCACCATAAACACATGAAGCTGTACTCTTTTAGCCTTACCAAAGCCCACTGACAGCATTATGACTCCTTGTGCTGCGACACGGGCATACAGATCAGAGCACGCCTTCTGTCTCTGGTTCTCACAATCTTCTATCCAAATTGAGAGCACACTGGACTATAGAAACATCTTGAAATCTCCTGTTTGATCATCAATAAGCCTTTTTAAATTGCTGGTGTTTCCAAGGAGTGTCACATGCATTCACAATGTCCTGAAGAGAGAGGAAGAGCCTCAGGGGTTTCCTCATTGGATCCTGGAAACACAAATCCCTTGCTCAGAGGCAGACCAGAATCATGCCTGCATCCCCTGCCTTCATCTTCCACCTACCAAAAACCATCAGCTTCCTCCAGCTGGTGAATTAAAAAGTCATCCTACAGGGAGTGCTATAGACTGACCCTCAGCTTAAGCAGAATCTTCAGGGATCTACAGAATCCACAGGGATCTTCACAGAGCCATGCCAAGGACCTGAGCTTCTCAGGATATCCCCAGTCACTTCTCCAGCCTAGAACTCAAGAGCCTGAGGTCTACTCTCAGATATTCCTGGATAATATGGATAGGTGAATCAGATTATCAGAGACTCTGTCCCTGCATGGACCTCTCATTGACTACATGGCAGTGATGCCAATTGTCACTGGGACATAGTGCCCACGGAAATACACCAGGAATGGTTGCAAGAATTTTCCAACTTCTCTGTATTAATCAGCACTGTGGAGCAGACAGCATCATGAGAGATGCAATGGGTAATCAGTGCTGACAGAATGCAGTCTGGCAGGAAAGAGAATACAAAGGATGTAGCAACATCTGGAAGGATTAGGGCAAAACTTGTAACAAGCCATACAGGAGAAGGCTGTCACATGCAGACAGACCACCTTACATTTGGACAATGTGACTTGGGCCTGACATGAGAAAACAGCATGTGTGGGATAGCAAAATTTTCTCAGGGGGTAGGTCTGGAAGACTCACTCATAAAAAAAAGCAGGTTGTTAACTCAGTTTTACTGTACAAAGCTAAAAAGCCCCAAGCTAACCTGAAGGGAATGATTAACCTGCTTTTAATTACTCAGTCACTTGCGTAATAAAAGCAGATGCTTTCACCCAAGGTGGATTACTATGATTGCCAGGTACCTTATGAAAAACCTCATTATCTGTACAGAAGTCAAGCAACTGACTTTTCAACTGGAATGGATCTGTTTCTACCACAAGACATACCTCCATTTATCTGTTTTGACTGAGGTGTAGAATAAGATGTCCTTGAATTCAAGAGACAAAATTCCTTCTCCTCTCTGTAGAGCTGGGATGACCTCCTCCATCACTATCCTGAACTGAGCTTATGTATGAACACATGCAGTCCTCCTAAGTCCAAAATGGGGTCTCATTCTTCCTCCACATCTGCCTCTATGAAAAAAACTATTCATCTTAGTATTGATCAATCCTGATTAAAGCAGCAGCAACTACCAATGATAATGGTGTTGGGTAATGACGATGAAACTGAATTGTGTGGGCTGAGAACGAGTATCTTTGCTTGACCCAGCAAGACATGTAGGTGCAATAGGGTGTGGCCTCTCTAAGGTAGCTTCACAGATCTGAGGTTGGTCTTATTTATATGTTAGGAGACATGGCATGGTGTCACGCCAGCAACAATCTGTCCAAAAGATGATGGTGTGCTTTAACTTGCGCCATGCTTTCAATCAAGTTAAGAAATGTCCCAAAATCTTCAGCAAGCCCCAGTGATGCATTGTGAGCATCCAAAAATATCTGCACAGGATCACTGATACACATTCCAGGGACTAAGGAATACCCAAAATGTCACTGGAAAACTCTCATTCCAATGATGGCAAGGCCAAGGCAAATAAATCAGTCTACAACATTACTGTGCAAATCTGTCACCACTTGGCAACTTTTTCTGGTTATATGGCAAAGGGATTGCTGTTGCCAAAATGGAAAGAAAGGGTGGGCAGCAGAGGATACTTTTTCACCAGTAAAGAGGTCAAAAAGCAGGATGCTTTTGTATCTGCAGGGTGGTCCTCAATCCTCCCCTAACAATTTCTGGAAAAACACACATCTTTTCATCCTGAGTCCAGGGAACCTAAAAGAAGTATTTGAGTTGGGGAATGGGTTAGAATATGTTTGGGAGCGCTGTAACGCAGCGAGGCTTGTGTGGGATTCCTGCAATACAATCTGCTGCTGTCAGCTGAGAGAGGAGGGTATAATTGCCTGCTGCGGAGCCATGAAAATCTACTGCTGAGAGCACAAACTGAATGGTGACAGAATGCTTGACATCAAGGGGTAGACGAGAAAGTGGAGAAGGATTCATAGCGGCCTGTCGAAGGCCTCAAGTGTCTTAGAAGCCATCAACAGAAGCAAATGCATGCAAGGGCCCAGAGAGATGGTCTTAGAAATTACCAAAGCCTGGGCAATGGTAATTCAACAGGTGCCTTCTCACATTAATTGTGATAACTTCAGTCCCAAAGGCAAGTAAATGAACAGAGGCAAACAAGCAAGAAGTCTTGTTTTGGTAAAGGCAGCTGAAGTCAACCACAAATGCTCTGCCCATAGAGCGTGATCATGTTTGTCTGAAGACATAGGGTAATGTATGAGAGGGGAAACTGACCTGAAAGGATATCATTATTGCCTTGAAAAATCCTAATACATTAAGAACCTCTAGCCACAAATGTCATGGCAGAAAAACACCTCAGTGCTAAATAGGCATGTGGACTGTCACTGCAAGACAACAGCATTTTACTTACTATCACACTGGTAAAATCTGCCAGATCAAAGTTACTTCAATGGAATTTATTTGAAAATCCATAAATCCTGGACCCTAAATCATCTGTCGGGTCACCATAGTTATTCATGAAAGACATGGAAAGCATGATTTCAAAGCAGAATTTCAGGTATGAGATGGTATTCCATGATTTATATAACATTATTGTAAAGACAGTAGCAAATACAGTATGTAGTTTGCCTGAAGCTTTCTGTAATATCAAATTCTTCTGGGTTGTTTTTTTTTTTTTAAATAAGCTTTCATACCTGCAATATGTGCAACAGGTTACTGACAGTTGGCAATATAATGCCGTTCTTTTCCAGAAGTGCTTTTGTTCTGTGAAATTGTTTTGATTTTGCTGAGACTGGATCTTGAAACAGCATTTTTTTTTTTCCTCATGCTCAGCCCTTATGGAAATTTAAGTTGCTTCATAAAGTAGTATTTTTATACTAAAATATTGTAAAACCAGGCATATACTGCAGGTTATTATGAGCAACCCTGGGAAGACATGGGAAAAGACAGCTCTGGTTGATTTATCTGAAGAAAAGAGCTCTCTGTCCTCAGCACACAGCCTTAGCACCTTGCTGTTTCCTCTGGGGGCACCAAATGGGGCAAGAGTTCCCGCAGGTCTATACGAAAGAGAGATCAGGCTCTCCCCTCTGCTGACTGAAACATAAACCTTATCAGCTCAACCAGGTTGACTGACTGCCCTCTGAAAGAGAGTCTTTTTCTGCAACCAGCTAGTTCTGTCATTAAAGCGTACAATTATGTCTCAAATTCTGCTCTTAAAGCATAATTAAGAAGTTGACATTTTGCACATAACAGATGTTTATTTTCTTTGAAAAATCAGTCCAAGCAAAAAAAACCCCACCAAAACAAAACAAAAAAATCCAGATTACTTAGATTGCAAGACTGAACAAAAGAAAACTAGGACATTGCAAATTTACAGCTGTCTGTACACCTTTCAGTCAGTTTCCTTTATGTGTGTGTTCTTGTAGAGTCATTAAATATGTAACCAAAACTTTTATCCTTCCATCTTTTGACTTATTTAGGGTACAGAATAAACATCTGAAGGAATAAAATTAGGACTGCTGCAAAAACAACTGTAAATTTAGCATTGCTTATTTTTAAGTGTTGAATTAAATATTTAAATGTTTCATTTCAATGTTCAGTTTTTCAGAATGCAACAATAGTTATTATGTCCTTACTTTTTCCTCAAGCATCCTCTTTTTTTTTTTTTTTTTTTTTAAATACTGTTGGCACCCAGGTAAAAGTATTGGTCATGACCATCAAATTGAATTCTTTAAAATTACAGGTGATTATACAATGATACTATGTAATCCTGTGAATAAATAACTGAATTCTCTTCTTAAAACTGTTTTTGAGTTTTAGTTAGCATTACTTCTACTAGGAAATTATTTCAGAAGCTCACTTCTCTGATGGCTACATAAAGCCATCTCCAATTTCCAACCTACATTTATTCATGGAGACTTTACAAATCTTGCTCTTGGTACAACTGTGTTGTTTACATCTTAAAATAATTCTATTTCTTATCAGTGTTTATCCATTTTGATGATGACAAATTTATTCCTTTCTTGGGCATTACTCTTCTAGTCTATGCAGGCCAACCTCTGTTATTTTCCCACTCTAAGATAAAAGCTCTGTCACTCTAATCATTCTGTTGGTCCTTCTCTGGATTCGTTCTGCTTGAAATTCAGGTTTGTACAGCCTACTCCAGATGACAAATTATACGTGTCTTCTAAGGCAGCGTTAATATTCTGTAATCTCTGCTGAAAATTCTTCACCTGATACAGACTAGGACTGCCCTGGCATTTTTCAACTCCCAGTTTAGAGAAAGAGGTTTTTTTGTCTTTTTTTTCTAATGAACTTCCTATTTCTGACAGTCCAGTCCTCAAGGTCTTCCCGCTTACTATTCTGAGACTCTTCTTTTAATTGTCTTCTGACTTTACAGCCACAGCAAGTGTAATCAGCACACACTCACTTCATGCATCAACATCACTATTAAAGATGTAAAACAATCCTGGTCCAAAAGACTGAACTTGAGAAACTTCCAGCCCAACAGTGAAGTCAGACATTGCCTCCTCACTAGTCAAGTCTCTGGCCATCTCATATTTTGCATACAAGTCTTTATCTTCTCTAGTTTAATTGTACTTATCCAGAATGTACTACTACTAAAACAGTAAAAAGTGCATTTACAAATTTTCCACCCTATATAAAGGTAAGAAGAGTATATATGAAACTAGAAACTGCCCTATGTATCTGGGAGAACAAGAGTTCACAGGCACTCCTTCCTCCCTGCACCCACATAGCCTATCTTAGCTGACTGATCCAAAGATAGGTACAAACATGCAGGAAGGAACCATATAAAGTCTGGTTTTACATTTACTCACCATGATGTAGGTCAGGAGTAAATACATGAATGTTAAAAAAATTATACTGGTATAAAAACAGTGCATGTTAGACACGCATAGGTCCATAAGAAATCTTAAAAATAATTAAGACAATTTCTATATTTCAACTACTGAAATAACTAGATTAACAATGTCTCTTACTTGTCCTGTCATATGACTCATGACACGTATGTGCAATTTCAGCTCCAAGCTGCAAATAATGTCCAGCTTTATCATCTCTGGAACCATCTGCTCCAAGGGCAAACATTCCCCCTGCAAAACAGGTCAAATGGCCCATCTTTCTTTCAAGGTGCCCATTCTTCCACTCCCCAATGAAGGTCAGTCCTCCATTGGACTTTCTGATGAGATGTTTTTCTATGGCCTATAAGAAGATTAAGAGAACTTTCAAATACTGTTTCACATGCAAGTTTTACATACCAACTCTTCTTCAAAGAATAAAATAGTGTTTTCAAAACAAAAAGAATTTTCTTCTTCTGCCAAATTCACTTCTGAGCACTACAGGAACAAACAGCTATAAGAATATAATTTCAATGCACATTAAAAAAAATACCCTAACTGCTAAACGATGCTAAATGAGATCAATCATAGGAAAATCACAACATAGATAACATTGCACTTTTAGCTGAGAATTCAGCACGTATTTTATCGTTCAAACACTGTTCACTCTGAGAAGTACCTATTTGTTCTGCCGTATAGCCTGTGTGTACTCAGAAAATACATCAATGTTGGATACTTTTGGTCAGCAACATATGTAAAGGCAGTACCTGTAATCTCCATCAACCTTCAATAGAAAGTGAGAGGAATGCTCCAGCCACCTTCTAGTTGCTTCTCCATAGCAAACTTTCTGATTGCATGTAGTCAAAGGATGGGTGAGGGTTAGAGCAGCTGTTATTATTATTTCACAGGTGAGGCAACTGCCGCTTTTTCTTTGAACATTTGTACCAATTATGTTGCTGCTTTTAATTTATAAATGGTGTTCTTCTGGTAGTAGGAAGGAGAATAGCTGACCTAACTTTCCAAAGTTTGCAAACTACACAGAACAACACATTCAGCCTCTTTCAGAGAGGTTCACAATCCCCACCAGTCTACTGCAGTACTACTTATCTGCAGCAGTAAACAGTTTTTCTTGTAACTAGAATCTCATTACTGTTTGAGTCCTATAATAATAAAGATAATTATCTTCTTTACCATTATTCTTATCTTTTTTCCAGAAGTCTCTTTTGTACTTCCAAACATAACCACCTGATGGGTTCATGAATTCCTTCAAAGTGAATAACCTGTCATTGGCCAGAGTACTCCAAGGCTGATTAGAGTTGAAGGATTAAAGTGCCATTAAAAAAGCATTTACTACTCCCCTTGCCATCCACAAGTTCTATTATAGAAGTGAATTACTACCCTCTCCATTACTTTTCTGGTGCCTACAACAAATTACACCCCAAATGACCACAACTGTATTGTGCACTAAAACTAGATATACTGAGAACACACAGGCCTAGGATCCCACATAAAACTAACACAGTTATCGTGGATGTGGAGGTCACGTCTGCTGCACACAGTTGTCTCCTTGCTATCTACACAGTGCAAACTGTACAGTTCGCTACAATACAGATTCAAGCCATAGATTAATTGGCTTGCAACTTGTAATTCAGGTTTAAAAGTGGACAGTGAAATAGCTTTCCCCTCTAAATAAAAAAAGCAAGACTGTCTTTTGTTTTCACCAAAACGGACAAACAAAAAGCTTCAAGCTCTTCTGTGACTGTAGTAGGTATTTCAGGTTCACTTTTTTTTTTTTAAACTGATGCTTAAGTGATACAGGACTGTTTAAAGCAGCTGTATTGAACCCAGAAATATTTGATAATGTGGAAGTCCTCCATCCAGGTACTGGAATAGCATCTGACAGCTTTCCAAAGTTTTCTTCAATAAAAAACTTTTCTAAAAACAAAAATATTGAAATTACAGTTAGAAAAGGCAGAATTTGTAGAATTAGGAGCCTCATCTGGGGAAGATGATAATATAAACGGTAATCTGAAATAGTTGTGTTTCTGAATATGTGTTTCTGTATGGTTTTCTGAATATGTTCTTGACTTGAGATGCTGCAGTGCTTGCAGCAACTTTTATGAATGGTTATAATGATGTGAATCTACACCTCAGCCATGTAGCCAGTGAAGATCTGTCAGTCCCCATATAGCCAGGATGAATGTACTAGCTAAAAGTCAATGCAGTGGTTGCAGGGAGAAGGCTGCATTATCATCAGTAATGCTCCTTACTTGCATTGTAGACTGAGCCATCATTCAGATGGTGAAATTTCTCCACTGTCCTCCACTGAACCTCTGCATTCTGAAGGTAATGAAAGAGAAGTGCTTCCTGCTGGGTTCACTTCTTCGCTAATACCACTGACAGATCTAAAGTTTGTGTTTATGGCAGGATCCAGCAAGAAGACCACAGCAATAACTGACAGAGCAGAAACGAGTAAGTGTCTGACAGCTGCTGGAGTGGCTGCCTAACAATCATGCAAATTGGCGTTGAGGACTGGCATGATACTGTGGCTTCCGCTGCTAGGGAGCCTGATGCGGTTAACCGTAAAAACCGTGAAAATTTGTTCTGAAAGTACTGGTGTAGGAAAGGTTGTATCTGTTGAAAATTCTGCCACTGAAGAAGTCGTACTCAATGACTTCTTTGGCTCTGTCTTCACTGGCAGTCTCTCTTCCCACACCTCGCGAGTGGATGGACTGCAAGACAGGGACAGGAAGAGCAAAGTCCCTCCCATTGTAAGAGAATCACAGAATCACTAGGTTGGAAAGGACCTTCAAGATCATCAAGTCCAACCATTAATCCAGCGCCACCGTGTCCCCTAAACCATGTCCTGAAGTGCCACATCCACATGTTTTTTGAACACTTCCAGAGATGGTGACTCC